AATAATATATGATGAAATATATAATGATATATGATGATGTTATATACAATATATGATACAATATACGAAATTTATACATTATGCAATATATAATGATATAAATATACAATATATGATGAAAAGAGTTTGCACAGAAAACTGAAGCAAATTGCTGAAAGAGGATGTTTCGGTCCATTAAGTCATATACATTCCAAAACAGTTCCGGGACTGAACCTCGTCAGTACGACGATTGTGGTAACATTATGAATCGAATAATGAAATTTTGGAGATGAAGGGAACATCCAATATACAGTGGAAATGAACACTGGTCTGCAAAGCACTGAATTGACACGTTGCAATACTTTGACAAAAACGGTCACGTGTCGATTGAGGTTATCCGGTATCCTGTTTGCGGGGTTAATTGAGAAGCCAGCTGGGAATAGCTCCCTCGACATGATAGACGTACCGACACGTCTGACACTCAAACATCTTGTATTTTCCCAGGACAAATATGAGGAACGAGGAGTTTTTCAGTGAGGAATTCGAGCCGATGCCTCTAGCACAGGGACAGGCATTGCTTTGCTTTCCCTACATACTACTGCAAAATATTAATGCCGGGAGGGCATTTCATGGAAATCTAACAGCTTGCTAGACGAAAAATCGACATACAGTTAACGTGCCCCTAAATTGTACAGTTAACGTATTTGAGCTCATTAATATCCACTTGGACGAGGGACATCCCCTTAAAATTTCAGCCTCCCAGCATTTCTGGTTTCCGAGTTAACAGCTTACCCGTAGAAATACTTTTGCGAGCTCGTATGTGGGTACCACGCGGGTAAAAGCGCCTGCTCAGACGTTCAGAGGGGCTATCACACACAGTCAGCTGCCCGTTCGTTACACGAACAGTCGAGCCAAGTAACACACCTGGATAGTCTCCTGTAAGTTACTTTGATTGTGAGCCATGTTGGTTCACCGATTCAAATAACCGATAGCAAATGTTCAAGTGCTGCACTCAGCAACGGCCGTTGCTTGAATTGGGGTGTGGGCGTTAATGAAAAATGTGTTACTCGAGCAACGCTGGGTGATTACTTGGATCGGCAACTACTGCAGGAACCCTGATGGCATGTTATTGATTTTTGGTGGAATTCCACTATTCAGAATTGGAGTCCTTTCTGCTTCTTGAGGTTAAAACATGTGATGTAATGAAGAACACCTGAGGAAGTTGTAGTGATTATTATCACTGTTATTATTTTGTTGTCATAGTGTTATACTGTTATT